AAGACATAACTAACAAAAAGTACACAACAAAACACTAACAACAACACATTTAACAATTTTAAAAATAACAACAAAAAAAATTTCTTTTTGTAGATGAATGACTTAATCAGCACAGTTCATGATCAAACATTAAAGTTAACATTGTCATTTGGTATTGGTCTTCATCATGCTGGACTTCACGAGAGAGATCGTAAAATGACAGAAGAACTTTTTGTTAATCAAAAAATACAGGTTTTTTTATATATTTTTTGTTTTATACAATTAAAAAGTTTTTGTTCTGAAAATTTTACCACATTTACATTTTATTATAATATAATTATTTATAATTTTATTTGATGTTATATTATTGCAGACAATTTACTTTATATTCTTTATTACAGCAGCTGATATATATATATATATATATATATATATATATATATATATATTTTATATATATATATATATATATATATATATTTATATATATATATATATATATATATATATATATATATATATATAATATATATATATATATATATATATATATATATATATATATATATATATATATATATATATATATATATATATATATATATATAAGAAACAAATAAATTAGCAAAATGCATAATATATAAATGTATATATATATAATATATATATATATACATATATATATTACGCATTTTGCTAATTTATTTATTTCTATATATATATATATATATATATATATATATATATATATATATAATATATATATATATATATAATATATACAGTACTGTGAATATGTTTTAGACCACTTATATAATTAGTTGTATTTTCAATTTTTTTCCTGTGTATTTTTTTTTTTTAAGCATACTGAAGTTGAGTAATATTTGAGAAAGGTTGAAAGAATATATTATCTTGAATAAATAAACAAAAATTTATGAGGAACATGAGGGATATGTTTGTTTATTTATTAAAACGATAATTGTCATAATAACTGCAGAAAAAGCGTTCATCTAAATAATACATAAAAATAAAATTTTCGATTTTTTTCTTACTGGTTCAGGTTAATATTCGTTCATTTAAGTTTTTAACAGTATAAAATGTAGTCATAGAGTGAATTTAATACAATAATAATCGGTTTTGGTACATTTTTTAAAAAGTTGTTATTTTTTATGAATACAGTTAAACAAATAGTTAAAAATAATTAAATAAAGTTATTAGTTTACATTTTTAGATTAATTAAGTGTTGCTATGGGTAAAATATCTTTAATAGAGAGACAGAAAGTTATTGTGCTTCACGAAGAAGGTTATTCGCAGCGCCAAATTTCTTCCAAAACAGGATATTCGAAGACTGCTATAAGAGAAATCATTAAAAAGTTTAAAGAAACTGGCTCCCTTCGAAATAGAAAGAAAAGTGGCAGACCTCCTAAGCTAACAAAAGATGACAATAAATATTTAAAAACCCTTTCTTTAAGAAACAGGAAAAAAACATCCACCGAATTGGCAAAGGACATTAATACAGCAACAGGGAAAAACGTTAGCTCTTCTTGTATTCGACGACACCTACTCAAATCAGGATTACGAGGCTGCGTTGCTATTCGAAAACCTTTATTACGGCGTGGCAATAAAGAAAAACGACTTAAATATGCAAAACAACACAAAGATTGGACCCAGGAAGTGTTTAATCGGGTTCTGTACACTGATGAGTCCAAATTTGAAATTTTTGGAACGAAAAGGCGTCAATATGTTCGAAGAAGAATAGGAGAAGCCTATCAGCCCGAGTGTTTAAACCCTACTATTAAACACGGAGGAGGCTCTTTACAAGTTTGGGGCTGTTTATCTTCATCTGGGGTAGGTGATCTGATCAAAATAGAGGGGCGACTCACCGGGGAACGTTATGTGGATATTCTAAGACAGCATGCTATACCATCCGGAATGAGACTAATGGGCCATAATTTTATTCTGCAGCAGGACAATGACCCAAAACATTGTTCCCGAGTGGCAAAAAATTATTTAAATGAAATGGCAGAAGAAGGAATACTGGAAATGATGACCTGGCCTCCCCAGAGTCCAGATTTGAATATAATCGAGCATATTTGGGATTACTTGGACAGGAAAAAGGTCGAACATGCTCCCCGAAATGCTGAAGAATGTTTTCAACTACTTCAAAGAGAATGGCACAACATACCGCAGGATTTTATAACAAATTTGTATGAATCTATTTCCCGGCAAATATCGGCTGTGATTAAGGCAAAAGGAGGACATAGTAAATATTAAGGGTTTTTTTATGAAGTGTGACATTAAAAAGTTTGTTATTGTTCCATATTTTGTGTGAAATATATGTATTTTAATAATTTTATAATATAGAATTCAAAACTTAAATATTAAGGAAGAATTCTCTTGGATTTTTTGAGAAAATGTAAGTGGTCTAAAACATATTCACAGTACTGTATATATAAAGTGACATTAATAATATGTTTAAATGAAAATGAAAAACATCATGTTCTGTTATATACTATTTTTGTTATATAATAATTGTATTTTAGTTTATATAGTTTAAGCCATTATCAAACTGAAAAAACTGTTTCAGTTTGATAATGACTTACACTATATAAGCCGAAATTATCACAAAAACAATTTATAACCAAACATGATGTTTTTTATCATTTATTTTTATATTCAATAAATCCTGCTTTTTACCATATTTTTTTTTACTGAAAAGATAATCTTATTATTAAAAAAAAATTATTGATAAATTGTTTGTAGTAAATCATTTCTCAGCCATCTTGATCTTGTTAATCAAGAAACTTGAGAAAAAAAAGAAAGGAGTAGAGAATTTTAAATTTAAAAATATTCAATCACTAATTGAAAAGTTTGCAAAGTAAAAATGTTTACTGTAAAAAAGTTCAAATGTTGGCATGAAATGATTTGGGTAATATTGAGATATATAAAGTAGCCAATTTTGAGCTATAAATAAACAAAGATCTGCCTCATATTAGGCGATTTTCTCCTACCTAGTAATAACTTGTATTAAATGGCCGAACTCAGACACCTGATGATATGTTAGAAAAAACTAATTGTGTGCTAAGATTTATTCTTTAGCTGATTCCCTTATTTGAAAAATTAAAATATTTAACATTCTTTTTATCCCCAATCTTTTAGCAATTTGTAATTTTGGATACCTGCTGCTTTTTAACATTTGGCTCTGTGTGTTTAGTTCTACTCACCCCCTCCCTTTTGGTCTACTTTGTTGGTGAACAATTATTAACAATAATAATTGTTAATTGTTATGCAATTATTAATAATAAGTGTTAATTGTTTACGTATATTTCACCAATAAAAAGCAGTCAAAAAATGAGGGGGCGAGTAGAAAAACAAAATAAATTTGGGAAGAGGTGGGATTCTGTGTATTTTTAGTAAACGCCTTATCAAAAGAAGCTAAACGTGCATAAACTTGAGAACAAATAAATATAGTTATATAATAAAAACTTGAATCTCTCACTTCCCCTTAAATGCCTTGTTGCTTATTATTTACTTGAATTAATTCTAAAATAGCATATTGCAACAAAAGTTCCTTTAACTAACACTTTAATAGAATAAAATCGGCAAGTCAATTTTAAATCACTATATATTTATTTAAAAATACACATAAAAAAATATTTAATTATAAAAGTTATAATATAAAATTAAATTAAGAAAAATACTTATATATATGTAAAAAAGTTAAAAAGAATTTTTAAGTCTTTACAACTTTTAGTTTTAAAACAAAATTTAAGTTTTTAAATATTATTCAGTGTTTTTAAGCGTTTGGTTTTAAAATACTAAACAAAATTTAAGTTTTTAAATATTATTCAGTATTTTTAAGCGTTTGGTTTTAAAATACTAAAGCATTTAAAAATTTAGTATTCGAAAACTTTCCATACCATATATAGTGTTTATATCGACAGTCGCCAATTAAAAAGTTGTTTCCGCTATTTAAAAAGTTACAAAAAGATTGTGACAACGGTCAAAAACTGTTAAACAAGTTTTGTCAAAAATTTAATACTATTAGGCTTTTTTTCTTTTATTTTTACATTAATAATATAAAAATGAAAATAAATATAACATAAGACATTATATGTAAATAATCATTTGTACTTTTTAAAATTGTATTTAGAAATGATCCACACAAGATCAAATTCATTCATTTAAATTTTAGTTGCAAACAATTGTCTTTTGTTCTTTTTTTCTCTCTACTATATCTTGCACAGAAAAGAAGTGATTTAAATATAAAAAAACTTAACCAGATTGCTCAGAATGAAACAAGTTGAATAAGTTATAAATAAGTAAGTAATAAGTAATAAATAAGTTTGAACAGTTATAACATTTATAAAATATAAAAATATTCCTTTGTATGAATTTCTAGAAGTTTCAGGAAATGATAGAGATGTTTTTGGAAAAAATTTAAATTATTATTTTTCGGGGATTTATATTTCCACTGAATTTTTAATTCGTTCCTTCTTCAATAGGTCAGTAATTGACCTTTTAGATTTGATTTTGGAACACCCTAAATATTTTTATAGATTCTATTTTAGAAACCTTTAGGTTACACTAAACTGTAAAAATTAAAATCGCGCATGTATCACATTTTTAGAAAAAGCATTTAAAGGGGGCAGACCTATGAATTTATTATGTTCAAGTCAAGAAACTTCAAGAAATACTGCAAACCTTAACTTTTTACATACTAATACTAATATCAAATAATGATTTTTTTGGCAGAACATCATTATTTGATATTAGTATTAGTATGTAAAAAGTTAAGGTTTGCAGTATTTCTTAAAATTTCTTGAATTGAACATGATAATTTCATAGGTCTGCCCCCTTTAAATGCCTTTTCTAAAAATGTGACACATGCAGGATTTTAATTTTTACAGTTTAGTGTAACCTAAAGGTTTCTAAAATAGAATCTATAAAATATTTGGGGTGTTTCAAAATCAAACCTAAAAGGTCAATTTCTGATCTGTGCTTCATTCAGGAACAGTATTTTTTTTTTATTAGCAATGAAACCCAGAAAAGCAGTCATTTCAAAAAATAATTCTATTTTATTTTAACTTTTTTTTGTTGGTAATTTTTATATTATTTTTATATTTATTTAATAATTTAGTTACTTACCAAGTATGTGAAAATATAAAAATGCAATACAGGGCCAACGACACTGGTTTCGAAGTAGGGGGGCACAATCATAAATTTCTAAAAAAAGTCCTCTATATCTAAAAAAAAAATTTTAACAAAAAGAAAGGTCCTTAGAAAAAAGGTGGAGGAGCTAGTGCCCCCTGCTGCTCGTACTCTCCCCCTTCCTTCTTCCTTCATTGTCATTGGCTATAACATAATAACATTGCTTATAACATAATAACAATTAATCGTTTTAATAAAATAACGAACAAATAAAAACAAACAATATAAAAATAATGTTATACAATATTTTTATAAAAAGGATTGATCGTCTTTCTACCTAATATTATAAAAGTTCATTTTTTATCTTTGTGATTAAAAATGTCATTAAATATGGAAGCTTTAACAAGCACTATAATAAAAAGAGCAAGAATGTCAACAAGAGGGAGAATGCCAACAAGAGGGAGAATGCCAACAAGAGGGAGAACATCAAATCATTAAAAAAGGACTTATGTAATTTAACTTTTAATAAATAAGTTGAATACTTGTAAAGTTAAGATTATAGTTTTTCAAAGTTACATTGCACTTCATTTTGTGAGTTTTTTTTTGTTCATTACATTTTTGTTTTGATTTGTTTCTTTACTCTCAAGTGAATCTGTTAAACTTGAATATCTTAATTGTTTTTGCATTTTAACATTCTAATTATTTAATTTAGGACTAATACAGATAAGTTATACAGATTAGTTATCACTGTTTGAAAAAACTGTTTGATTTTATTTTTTGATTTTTTACATACATAATATTATATTAAAATCAAGTGAAAAATTTTTTTAGCACATGCTAAGTTATATTTTTTTGTTTCAAAAAGAAACTTTTTTAGCACATGCTAAGTTATATTTTTTTGTTTCAAAAAGAAACTTTTTTAGCACATGCTAAGTTATATTTTTTTGTTTCAAAAAGAAACTTTTTTAGCACATGCTAAGTTATATTTTTTTGTTTCAAAAAGAAACTTTTTTAGCACATGCTAAGTTATATTTTTTTGTTTCAAAAAGAAACTTTTTTAGCACATGCTAAGTTATATTTTTTTGTTTCAAAAAGAAACTTTTTTAGCACATGCTAAGTTATATTTTTTTTGTTTCAAAAAGAAACTTTTTTAGCACATGCTAAGTTATATTTTTTTGTTTCAAAAAGAAACTTTTTTAGCACATGCTAAGGTATATTTTTTTTGTTTCAAAAAGAAACTTTTTTAGCACATGATAAGTTATATTTTTTTGTTTCAAAAAGAAACTTTTTTAGCACATGCTAAGTTATATTTTTTTGTTTCAAAAAGAAACTTTTTTAGCACATGCTAAGTTATATTTTTTTGTTTCAAAAAGAAATTTTTTTAGCACATGCTAAGTTATATTTTTTTGTTTCAAAAAGAAACTTTTTTAGCACATGCTAAGTTATATTTTTTTGTTTCAAAAAGAAACTTTTTTAGCACATGCTAAGTTATATTTTTTTGTTTCAAAAAGAAATTTTTTTAGCACATGCTAAGTTATATTTTTTTGTTTCAAAAAGAAACTTTTTTAGCACATGCTAAGTTATATTTTTTTGTTTCAAAAAGAAACTTTTTTAGCACATGCTAAGTTATATTTTTTTGTTTCAAAAAGAAACTTTTTTAGCACATGCTAAGTTATATTTTTTTGTTTCAAAAAGAAACTTTTTTAGCACATGCTAAGTTATATTTTTTTGTTTCAAAAAGAAATTTTTTTAGCACATGCTAAGTTATATTTTTTTGTTTCAAAAAGAAACTTTTTTAGCACATGCTAAGTTATATTTTTTTGTTTCAAAAAGAAACTTTTTTAGCACATGCTAAGTTATATTTTTTTGTTTCAAAAAGAAACTTTTTTAGCACATGCTAAGTTATATTTTTTTGTTTCAAAAAGAAACTTTTTTAGCACATGCTAAGTTATATTTTTTTGTTTCAAAAAGAAACTTTTTTAGCACATGCTAAGTTATATTTTTTTGTTTCAAAAAGAAACTTTTTTAGCACATGCTAAGTTATATTTTTTTGTTTCAAAAAGAAACTTTTTTAGCACATGCTAAGTTATATTTTTTTGTTTCAAAAAGAAACTTTTTTAGCACATGCTAAGTTATATTTTTTTGTTTCAAAAAGAAACTTTTTTAGCACATGCTAAGTTATATTTTTTTGTTTCAAAAAGAAACTTTTTTAGCACATGCTAAGTTATATTTTTTTGTTTCAAAAAGAAACTTTTTTAGCACATGCTAAGTTATATTTTTTTGTTTCAAAAAGAAACTTTTTTAGCACATGCTAAGTTATATTTTTTTTGTTTCAAAAAGAAACTTTTTTAGCACATGCTAAGGTATATTTTTTTGTTTCAAAAAGAAACTTTTTTAGCACATGCTAAGTTATATTTTTTTGTTTCAAAAAGAAACTTTTTTAGCACATGCTAAGTTATATTTTTTTGTTTCAAAAAGAAACTTTTTTAGCACATGCTAAGGTGTCTTTTTTTGTTTCAAAAAGAAACTTTTAGACTAAAAGTTTGAAATTTTTTTTGAAGTTTTTAAAGTTTTTTTCATCTATGTTGAAATTATATTATGTCAAGAGTTTTTAAAGAAATAAAAAAAGTTTTTATCTACTAGGTACAGGCTATAGTTTATATTATGCACAGGCTATATTTTGCCTGTGTAAACCGACTTACACAGGTGTGGAGACGGGCACAAGCTATAGCCTGAAATATTTGAAGCTGTATATATATGCATATGTATGTATATGTACGTATATATATGCATATATGTGTTTGTATGTATATATATATATGCATATATGTGTATATATATATATATATATATATATATATATATATATATATATATATATATATATATATATATATACACATATATATATATATATACCACTTATAGTTTTTCGCATACTACTTATAGTTTTTAAAATGAATTTTTTTGAATGTCTTGAAATAATGTTGTTAATAAACCAGTTGTGTCAATTTTGTTTGACATAAATTAAAATTTATGTTATATATGTTAATTTATGTTATGGAAAAACTAATTGATTTAAAACTAGATAACTGTATTTAATAATAAATTTTTATTACTACACAAGTTATGCATCATTTAATATAGTTTTTATGAACATTAATGGCCTAATAAAAGAGAAAATTCATAAGAAAAAAAAAGTTATGAGTTACGAAATTAGTTTATAAGTTAATTTTTTTTTATAAGTTACACACTGACATATTTCTCTTTTGTAGGTGCTGATAGCAACATCAACTCTTGCATGGGGAGTAAATTTTCCTGCACACTTTGTAATTATTAAGGGAACTGAGTACTATGATGGAAAGACAAAGCGTTATGTAGATTTTCCAATCACAGATGTTTTGCAAATGATGGGTAGAGCTGGTCGTCCTCAGTATGATGATCATGGTGTTGCACTTATTTTGGTCCAAGATATTAAAAAAAATTTTTATAAAAGATTTTTGTACGAACCTTTTCCAGTTGAATCTAAGTAAGTGCTACGTTCTTTAATTGTTTTTTAATTGTTTAGCAATTACACTTAGCTGAAGATCAGAACATTTTAATAGGTACTTTAAGGTACAAGTAAACAAATTTTGTTAACTTGTTAATTAAAATGTTTCTATAAGTAGCCTTTAAAGTTTTTTTAGAGTCTAGACACTGATTTTTGGAGTCTAAAGACTAGGTTTACTTTAGTTTGTTAGAAGTGCTTCCTGACCATTTAAATGCTGAAATTGTTGCCAGCACTATCACATCAAAACAAGATGCAATGGATTACATGACCTGGACTTACTTATTCAGACGAATACTTATGAATCCTACTTACTATGGATTAGATGATACAAATCATAATTCAATAAATGCATTTTTATCAAAAAATATTGAAAAGTCAATTTATGAACTGCAGAGTTCATACTGTGTTGAGGTTAAAGAGGTAACTTAAGATTTTTTATTTGAATGTGAATTAATGTTTTGTTTTAGATTATATATTATATAGCTTAATGTTTTTGTTATAAATAAGTTTTATAATTTTCTTTATTGTCACTTTTATTATTTTATTTGTAATCTTATTTATATTTTTAACATTAAATCTAAATAAAAAATTACTGACTATTTACATTAGCAACTACTTTAGTTAATTGCAACCAATCAGGAGTCAACATCTGCAACCAATCAGGATTCATTAAACCAATATTTAATGACTCCTGATTATAAGAATTATAAAGAATTATGTTGGGAGAAATAAAGGTTTTTGATGTTTTTCAATTTGGTGAATGATTTTCAACATTTTTTGTAAAAAAAAATTTTCTTTCAAAAAATATTGAAAGGAAGAATTTTTTTTTAAATATTGCTCACATTAACACAAAAAAACTGATGAAAAAGTCATATTAATTAAACAATTTATTGTGTGAACATCATTGATGAAAAATTGAACAGCATTGATGAAAGTGTACGACCAACTGTAAGAGTTTGTTCTGCAATTAAGATGTAAACAAGTCTCATATTCCTATTATAATCACCCATGTTCCTGGGTATTTTTTGTGTTTTGAGCTAAAGTTCAATGTTTTAATATCCAGACTTCAATGATTTTCATGATGATATGGAAAATATATTTGCTTATAATGGTTTTAAAATTTTAAAATTATAAGGATAAAGTTTTCACAAGTTTTAAAGTTTGTTTTTTTATAAGTAATAAATGGTTTCAGTGACTTAAGAGAGTGGACTGATTCTTGTAGATTGTTAAGAGAAAATTGAAGATCAACATGTTGCTTCAATCTTTAGAATAGTGATAAGTAAATAAAATATTGAATAACCATCATGCATCGTTCATATTTCAAAAATTTACTTAAGAATTGTTTTATTTTTAGTTGCCATGTTTCAAAGTATGGCTTGTATTAAATAGTAATTTAAAAAATTTTCAATAGTTTATATCTTTTTAGGTTATAGTTATTATATTTAAGAGTTTCTAAAAGTTTCCGGGATTTTTCCATGGTCATCCTGTCTCTATTACTTACTTACCTTTCTTAGCAGTAAACCATGCCTTAAATTACCTTTCCTCCGAAACTTAAATTTATTTCTTTCCCATTTCATACCAGGTTGCTCACTTAATAGCAATTTTTTTCTTTATTTTTTTTTTTTTTTTTCGTTTAAAAAAAAAGTTGATCCAATAGTATCTGTGTCAGCAAAAGGTCAAAGTAATGTTAAAACCCATACACTTATTTATAATGTAAAAATACATTTTAAAAAAGTTAATGGGTTTAATTTTATGTAAAGAAAAAAATTGGTTTAAAGGTGTAAGGTTGTATTCTTAGATAAAAATTAAACGTTTAAGAGTGTTGTCTTATGTAAAATAAAATGTAATGGTGTATTTAATGGTGTGAAATAAAATATAATGGTGCATTTAATGGTGTAAAATAAAATATAATGGTGTATTTTTATGCAACATAAAAAAAAACAAGTGTTTGTTCTTATGTAAAATAATTGAACGTCAATTATAATTGTGTAATAATTTTCAAAATAAAAATTATTTTTAAAGCAAAACAATTATTTGAAAGTTGCTACAAAATATTTTATTTATCGGAAAGTTGCTACAAAATATTTTATCGGTTATATTTCTTTTCAGGACGATAATACTATAGAACCAACAATTCTTGGTCGAATTTCTTCGTATTATTATCTAAGCCACTTATCTATGAGAATGTTCAAATCTCGCCTTTGCTCAGAACTCTCAATCGAAGATGTATTGCAGGTTCTGTGTGACGCACAGGAATATGATCAACTACCTGTCAGACACAATGAAGATAAATTAAACGGGTAATTATTATCAATAAATACCTATCAGTTTATTTTATTTGTATAATCATTTTTAGCAGTTATTTTTTTTTAGTGAACTTGCTGAATTGGTACCACTGCAAGTGAATAAATATACCTTGGATAGTCCTCACACTAAAACACATTTACTTTTACAAGCTCATTTTTCTCGTGTTGAACTTCCTATAGCTGATTATATTACAGACACAAAATCGGTTCACGACCAATCTATTCGTATTTTACAAGCGATGATTGATGTTTGTGCTGATGAAGGTTACTTAGTGACAGTTCTGCAGATTATTATTTTAATGCAAATGACAGTACAAGGTTGTTGGTATCACGGTAGCGCTTTGTTGATGCTTCCAAACGTTACCAGTGACATGCTACCATTATTTAAAATAAACCCAAGAATGAAGTTAGTTATAGTTTATTTTGCGTTTATGTGTTTGTGTTTCTGTGTATATATGTAATTCTACGGTTATTATACTCTATTAGGTCAGATACACCTCGTCAAATAGTTTGTATACCAGAACTAATCAGTTATTGCGCTAAAACCCCCAAGTTGCTCCATAATATGATTGGACATGTATTAAAATCAAACGAAATTGAAAAAGTAATAACAGTTTTTTAAATTAATTTGAAAATGTCTGAACTCGGTATTTCGAAAAATTTATTATGTTTTAGATATACGAAGTTTTGTCTGTTTTACCAATCGTATCTATAAAAACATCATTGTTTGATGATCAATCTAAAGGAGAACAAGCAATCGACTTAACTCAAACCAATTCAAACAAACGAGAGTGGCTTCCGATTCGCGCTGGCTGCGAGTATGCTCTGAAAATTAGTATTAAGAGAGATCAGTTAAGTCCCAAGGTGCACCTTGATTTTTTTATCATATAGAGTTCTTTTTAAATTACTCACCACATCATGAAAATGTTTTGTTAAATAGTACTGAATGTAAAATAATTCTTTACATAAATAGATATAACTCCTCATACATATAAGTGGAAGTGCAGAAACATAACGATCTTAGAAGAGTAATTGAAACACTTTACAATTAAACATTATAATTATCAAACATTAAAAATAAAGTACAATAAAATTACAGAGAACAACCAAAACAATACAATACACTAAACTATTAAAACAGTGAACATTAAAAAACTTAAGGTAATGTTTTATTATTATTGCTTACTTTGATTTTTTTAGAGACCGACTTCAAAAGCATACGCTCCTTTGTTTTCAAAATCAAAAGATGAAGGATGGTTCTTTTTACTCGGAGAAATAGATTGTAAAGACATTCTTGCTCTCAAAAGGGTATCTTTTATACACAAAGAAAGTACTGTAAATCTTGGTTTTTACGCACCTGAAGACCGTGGAAATAAAATTTTTACATTATACTTAATGAGTGATAGCTATCTTGGTATGGACCAGCAATATGATCTGTTTTTTGATGTGCAATAAACTAAAATATATTTTTATATAAAAAAATATGTTTATATATGAATAAAAGAATAAATTAATATTTTTTATTTTTATTTTTAGCTATGTATTAAAGTAAATATTTTTTTTAGTTATTGAAAATTGAATTTTCAAAAGTCAAATTCGAAAAGCTTACGTTCTATTTAAAAATAATTATAAATTTTTGATTAAATACCTACCATAGAATATGGGTTTTGCAGGAAGCTTACATATTATGTAGACAAATTTTCATTATCTAAGAGTTTTAAAACTAGCCATGATTCAAATAGTTAAATTGTTTTCTTTAAATATAGATCTAATTTATGCATTTTTATTTATTTGCGATTAAAAGCAAGTACCGTAAACGTGGTTACTTTGGACAAAAACTTTGAGTAAAACTCTAATATATAAAGATTTTTGTAGTTTTTTTTTTTTTTTTTTTTTTTTTTTTTTTTTTTAAGAAAAATGAATTTCTTAAATGTAGACTAAGTTTACTTAACAGAACAACATAAAATATAATGCATCCTGAGCAGTGAAACAAATTTAATAAAAAGTAGAAAACTCAGGGTGTCTGCCAAATCAGGGAAAAGTCAGGGAATTCAGATACCTGCAAAAAAATCAGGGGATTATCAGGGAAATTAGGTTAAATTTTAGAAAAATCAGGGGAAATTTCATCAAACTTACATAAATTAAATAAGTTGTATATTGTGCACGTAGTATAAAAGTTTATTTGAAAGATAACTTTAGAACTTCTCTTGCATATTTTTGCAGTTAAAGATCATTTTTCTAAACGAATCTAGGTCAATTTTTGTGAAGTTGAGTTTGGGTAACTTTAAATTAAATCAGAGAAAAAAAGTAGAAGATCAGGGAAATCTTAAAATATTTGCAGATGAAACTTATGTTCTTTGTTTTACTTGTAAACATTTTTCTTTGAATCTGAAGCATTACCCTGAAACTTATGTTCTTTGTTTCACTTGTAAACATTTTTCTTTGAATCTGAAGCATTACCCTGAAACTTATGTTCTTTGTTTCACTTGTAAACATTTTTCTTTGGATCTGAAGCATTACCCTGAAACTTATGTTCTTTGTTTCACTTGTAAACATTTTTCTTTGGATCTGAAGCATTACCCTGAAACTTATGTTCTTTGTTTCACTTGTAAACATTTTTCTTTGGATCTGAAGCATTACCCTGAAACTTATGTTCTTAATTTTGTTTCACTTGTAAACATTTTTCTTTGAATCTGAAGCATTACCCTGAAACTTATGTTCTTAATTTTGTTTCACTTGTAAACATTTTTCTTTGAATCTGAAGCATTTACATTTCTTTTTTAAATAATATTTAGTTTATCATTTCATGGCATGATTTTAAATATTTTTGAAAGTTAAACCAAAAAAAAAAAATGGTGTTTAAAACTATATAGTGACTTTCGATACTGTCAATGAGTTTTTAAAAATTATTATTGTTAACATGTAACACACTATTTAGATGTACCCTGTTTTAAAAACAATACTCCACTTGAATGGTCAATTGGATTTTTGTGCCGTCACAAAAACAGTTTTCGTCAACAATTATGTCAAAATATTGTAAGTTTTTGTGCGACAATATCTAGAGATTCAATTAGGAATTATTTCAATAGTTTAAAACATTCATTAAAAGATGAAAATGGAAAAACTTTAAATGCCTTAACTTTGATGAAACAAATTGTGATGATTTGGTGCAGCTAAATATTTGTTCAGGCATGGAACAAAATACCCAGAGTGATTTAAAGATGGTACAAATAAAGTATATCTATAACGCATACATTCTGCCTCCTTATGTAATTTACAAATCTCAAAATTTATTGAACCACTTGATGGGTGAAGAGGGTGCAAGATACAATAAGGCTGGGACCATTAGATTACCTCTTCCACACAGCGTGCTAAATTGACCGCCAGGTTTTATGTCCGCTAACTCTGATTTTTTTTTCGTTCCTTATGAGGATACCTACCAAATTGTTGTAAAAAAGATTATTTTAAATTCACATCTCTCAAAGGGTGTCTGAAAAACTGTTTTTTATGCGCACCCAAACCCCAAAAGGGTAGAGTGGGTGTGGGCTAAAAAAAAATTATACTAACAAGCGCAAGGAAAAGAAACTCCAGAAATATAGTTACTTCAAATTAAACAGGTAAAAAAATACTTGATTGCCGAAAATTTATAAAATAACTTATAAGATTTATGTTTATAAAGATTTTGTTAATTATGCTATTTAGAATTATTGATCAAAATTCAAAACAAGAGCAAGTTCAACTCCTAAACCAATAAAAAAAAAGTTTCTTCTAAATTAAAAAATATTTTAATTTAGAAGAAACTTTTCCAATATGCCCCAACTGTTTTGCTTTTGTATAAAATAAAATAGTAATAAAATTATGAAACTTAATTTAATTTAGACCAAGAAATACTTTCATCCATGTGAAAAAAATAAAGTTAAAAACCTAGTTAATCATGCATTGAGAGGTAAAGTGTCCAGTAACAATCGTAGTTCATATTCTGAAACATAAAATGGAAAAAAAAAATTCTTAGTGGACAGAAAATGATGCTTTTAACTGGTGGAAACAAACTTACAGTTCAAATTGGTGTATCAAATAATAAAACTCAATAATAAATCTCTTGAAACTATTATACAGTTACAAGTTGCGATCTGAGCCTTAATGGAACAAAACTATTTGTTTTGGAAATAAGCTCTCATAGTGGAAAAAATACGTGCATGTACTGCGAAAGTGAAATGGAAGTAAATGCTGGAAAACCAAGAACATTTAGAAGCCTTCGTAATAATATATATTTCATGATTTATCTAAAATCATGAAATATATATTATTACCAAGGTTTCTAAATGTTCGCTAATTAAATAATCAATATTCTTTAAAAACATAAAAACTATTTATTTCTTATATAATATGTGAAATAAGTATTGAAATATTAGAAAAATTCAATTTTTTTAGTCTGTCCAAAAACTTTTGGACAGACTATATATATATATATGTGTGAATATATATATGAATATATATATATATATATATATATATATATATATATATATATATATATATATATATATATATATATATATATATATATATATATATATATAATATATATATATATATATATATATATATATATATATATATATATATATATATATATATATATATATATATATATATATATATATATATATATATATATATATATATATATATATATATATATATATATATATATATATATGTTTTGGAAATAAGCTCTCATAGTGGAAAAAATACGTGCATGTACTGCGAAAGTGAAATGGAAGTAAATGCAGGAAAACCAAGAACATTTAGAAACCTTGGTAATAATATATATTTCATGATTTATCTAAAATCATGAAAAATATATTATTACCAAGGTTTCTAAATGTTCGCTAATTAAATAATCAATATTCTTTACAAACATAAAAACTATTTATTTCTTATATAATATGTGAAATAAGTATTGAAATATTAGAAAAATTCAATTTTTTTAGTCTGTCCAAAAACTGGACAGACTAGATATATATATATGAATATATATATATATATATATATATATATATATATATATATATATATATATATATATATATATATATATATATATATATATATATATATATATATATATATATATGTATGTATGTATGTATATATATATATATGTATATATATATATATATATATATATATATATATATATATATATATATATATATATATATATATATATATATATATACCCAGCCAGGATTGTGATACGGGTGCCGTGTGGGAACCGTACGGGATGTCAAATAGGAATTTGGCCGTGGGATCTATATGGGTACCATGCGGGCCAAATAAAAAAGAAATATTCATCTTTTTTTTTCCACCGTATTTCACCCATGATTTTTAATTTAATTATGATTTTATATTGAATATTATTTTTTATAAAAGTTTAAAAAGTTAAATATTTTTAATGCAAGTTGACATGGACATATACATGTATGTTTTATTAAATAAAATAAACTGTTATTACTTATGAAATATATATATACCTACTAAATAAAGAAAGTATACTTACTAAATCAAACCATAATATTTTAAATTAATATGTTGAGACTACCTAATGCCATACTTTTGGATAAAATGTATTGCAAAATATATTTGCTATAATAACGTTTTTTTTTTTTGCAATTTATTTCAACCAACGTATGTTTAGGTACATAAAAAAACTATAAAGCAAAACAAAATTTATCAAAAAAACTTCTTGAAGAAGCATTTACTGCTTGGTTCGGTAATGCTCGAGATAAAGGCAAAGACGGCTAAAAAGAACGAATTTCAAATGCAGCATCAAACACAGAAAAAAACATATAGAATGTACATAATGCAGCAGCAAACATGTAACGTAAAGAATACAGCAGCAAACATTTTTAGATATATTGGTTACACATGTAACCAATATATGGCTGCCTATGCTGGACATGAGTAAAGACTAGGCCACATATACCCACTTTTTTTCTAAAGGACTTTTTTTATCTTTCTAAAAATTTTATAATAAAGAGGACTTTTTTTAGAAATTATCAATTGTGCACTCCTAAACAAACCCTCTACCCAACCTCACCCCACCCCCCACCCCCAACTCACCCACCTTCAACCTCTACTCCTACTTTGAACCTCCAGTCTCCTCCTTTAAACCATCAATCTCCTCCAAACAATAGTTGAAACAAAACATGAAAACAAAATCTCCTCAAAGCTCATATGTTGACATGGAACATGTAAGCTAGTTTTGCAATCAGTACAAATTTTCTTTATTTAAAAACTCTAATGTTCAACTCTTTATAATTAACATATAAATCAATTTACAAATAAAGTTCTTCACCAGTAGTCTGGTAAACTGCATATAATCTTAGTCTTGTACAACTGTTATGCATTCGTTATGCATTCGTGATGCATTGAAATAATAAATAAAAAGGATAAAAACATTTTCGTAAACTCTATTTATATACAACCAGCTGGAAACTTAAAAAATTTC